CATGTGCCCTATAGCAAAAATCTCTCTTAAAAAAAAAAAGACTCTGTAAGTTTATTCACGTCTATGCAAGGTTGTCAAAATGTTCATGGAGAATGTGTATTATGAAAAAGCTAAGCACGAGGGCCAGCAGATGGCGTAGTGATTAAGGCACTGGATTCCCAGTTGGAGTTCCAGACCCAGCAGCTTGAGACTCATGCCAGGTGTGTGTGCTTGCATGTGCACGGTTCAGAGCATCCCTTCTGGGGGAGTGATTCTCACTCCCTCTCTCTCTGGCAAGTGCACGTACTCTATGGCAAAAATCTGAAAACAAAACAAAACAAAACAAACCCACAGAACATTGATATGTTAGAAATGGCTTTAAAATAAGGCATTGATGGGAGTATGTGTGGAAGAAATAGGGTATTCCTTGATCAGAGACGAAACAAGACTGTCCACAAGTTAATACTGTAATTTTTGAAGCTGTGTGAGTTTTCTCTACTTTATATGTTTAAAAATCCCCACTCAGGCATGCAAAGTACCTGGTACACAGCAGCAGCTCCAAAAATGATGGTTACTTCATTTCACAGTAAGCGAATCATGCTTTAGGGAGATTTAAGTCATTTACCCAGAGTTACACAGAATCGGCAAAACCACGAGCTGCTCCTCACCAGTCCTACGCCTCTGTAGCCCGGCGGGCAGCAACGGTAATTGTGGACACCACTCAGTGAAACTGAATTTTTATTCCAAATGAAATTCCATTCATAGAAAGACAACAGTGAACACAACAACTTGCCTAATTGGAAATGAAAAGCAGTTGATTTGCAAGAGAGCAACAGTCGGTGTGGGCCTTGGCACTCTGATGATTCCACCCAAGAAAGCATAAAAATAACAGGGTCCTGACACGCAGTCTGGAGGTGTGGCATTTACAGCAGATGCCGCAGAAAGGAGGGAGGAAAAGGAAAGAAAGAAAAAGAGAAGGGGAAAAAACCCCCACAAAATCCCAAACCTTGGAAATGAACATTCACTTGAGAACACAGTGGTGAAGACTTTTGGTAGCAAAATTTTCACAATTCTTAAAATGGGAGTCTTCAAAAGTCTGTCTTCAAAAGCTGGAAAAAAAAAAGAAATCTGAAGAGGGAATAGTTACACTGGCTTAGAAGAGCTGCCACCTGTCTGAGGTGACAATCAGTCCTGCTTCCAAAACACAGTGAGAACCGGTGAGCCTGCCGCGCCTGCGGGAGGGCTGGAGGCGGCGACGGGCGCTGGGTCTGTCGAGGCTGGCAGCGGGCGTCGCGGCTACTGCTCCTCCTGGCTGATGCCGAGGCTGCCTTTCTGCACCTCCAGCTCCTCGGCACTGACCATGGACGGATCAATAGCTGCGTATTTGGTTCCATGGAATTGTAGCAAATGGATCTGGAGAAACAGAACCGTCAAGTGGATGTTGTCTAATACAAAAAGTTTGGGAGGAAAATGCCACATAGATTGAAATGCTTGGTACTTGTAAAGTTACAAACTAATACATACTAAGCAGAGAAAACTGGTAACTGTAGAATGAAGTTAAAGGTTTAGAAACTACAATTTAGGGGACCAGCAGTTAGCGTAATGGCTGGGTCACTGGACTCCCACGTAGTCGACTACAGTTCGCGTCCTGGACCCGGTGGCTTAAAACTCACACCGGGTGCGTGCCCAAGACCCCGAGAGGAGAATGGAGGAGAAGGGATTGTGGTGTGCCCATTCCCCTGGGGAGTGATTTCTCGCTTTCTGTCTCTCTGTCTCTGTCTGGCAAGCACTCGTACCCTATAGCAAAAAAACACTCAAAAAAAAAAAAAGGAAAAATAAAAGAAACTACAATTTAGGATCTGTGTTCCTCACTTAATATGTAAGCAGTCTCTTCAAGTTACTCCATAGTCTCTTCTAATTGTTAATTTATTTTTGCTTTCTTTCTGATAAGATGCATGTACAAACAGGTGAGGAGGGGGAACCAGCAGTTAGCGTAATGGCTATGTCTCTGGACTCCCATGTAGTCGACCACGGTTCGCGTCCCGGACCTGGTGGCTTAGAACTCACGCCGGGCACGTGTGCATGTGTGCCCAAGATCCTGAGAGGAGAATGGAGAAGGGATTGCGGTGTGGTCATCCCCCCTGGGGGGTGATTTCTCGCTTTCTGTCTCTATGTCTCTCTCTGTCTGTCTGGCGAGCGCACGCACCCTATAGCTAAAACCTCACCAAAACAAAACAAAAAAAACCGAACAGGTGAGGATGAGAGCAAGAGACAGAGGAGCACCCAGAGTCTGGTTATGCTGTGGTCCCCTTCCTGCCTCACTCCAGCCTGTCAGACCTGGGGCACGCACGTGTGCACCCAGTGTGTTCCAGGCTGACAAGCTGGGGATCCAAACCAAGGCCACCATGTGAGATCTGGCACCTCTTGAGTAGCACGGTACCATGCATCATGGAGCCTGCCCTGGGGAGATCTCAGGAGCTCCACGGTGCTCTGCAAGGGGGTGCTTAACTCCCTCGTGGGGCTGAGCTAGGTCCCTCCCACCTTCTGCTACGATGACTAATGCCATGACGAACCGTCCCTGGGCATCATCCATTTGTCTATTTAGGATCCTTTCTGCTATGATTTGAATACGTTGCCCACAAATTAATGTGGGGGCCTATTTGGTGAGCTACTGTAATGGCGCTGAGAGGGTAGAGATTTAACCCAACTGTGGTGCTGAAAGGTGGGGCCTCTGGGAGGTGCCCAGGATTAGTGTTATTAGGATGGGCCCATGACGGAGCCCTGGTGCATTTAATGGAGAGCGAGTGAGACAGACATGGGCGCTTGCCAAGCTGTCCTGTGGTATCCTGGGCCACTTGGGACTCCACCCTCAGGAATCTCACCAGATGCGGCCCTCTGACCTCCAACCTCTAAAACTGTGAGTACTCAGACCTCTCTTCTGAAACACTTAAGATCTGTCTCCACAGTGGATGCCAGGATCACAGGTGGTGACTGGCTTTTATAAAAGGCTCTTAATACCTCTTGTCAAACTGCCAGAGCAATCACTTCTACAGTTATTCTATTTTTTTAATCTTAATTTTAAAATTTTACTTATCTTTTAGTAATTTGCCAGAGAGCACGTGTGCTTGGAGAGACAGAGGGTAAGAGAGAGGGAGAGAAAGAAAATGAGAAAGCAGCCCTGACCCCCATGGTGGACAGTTATGCTTAATCTCTCCTCCTTCACGAAGGAGAAGGAGTGCATACACACGCACCCAGCGTGATTTTCAAACTGTCGGGCCTGCAGCTGGCCACGTGGAATCCAGCTGCCTTAACCATCATACCACCAGCTGACGTCCCACAGCCGTTCTAATATCCATTTATGTAGAAAATATAGAGATGGTGCTTTGTTTGCTTTTTTGGGAGATTTTTGCTATAGGGCACATGCACTCACTGGCGAGACAGCAAGAAAGTGAGATACCACCTCCTCCCCGGGGGATGGCCACGGCGCAATCCCTTTTCCTCTGTTCATCTCTCAGTACTTTGGCATACACTCACACGTGCCCAGCGTGATTTTTTTTTTTTTGGGAGGGTTTTGCTATAGGGAGGGGGCGCTTCAGAGAGAGACAGAGAGACAGAAGTGAGAAATCACCCCCCAGGGGAGATGGCCACGCTGCAATCCCTTCTCCTCCATTCTCCTCTCGGCATCTTGGGCATGCATGCACACATACCCGGCGTGAGTTTTAAGCCGCCGGGTCCGGGATGTGAATCGCGGTTGACTACATGGGAGTCCAGCGACATAGCCATTACGCTAAGTGCTGGTCCCCCAGCATAATTTTCAAGCCACTAGGTATGGGACTCAAATTGCAGCTGGCCACATGGGAGTCCAGGGCCTCAACTGTTATGCCACCTGCTGGCCCCACCTATTTTTTTAATGCATTAAAATGAGATATAAAGTCCCTTCCTGGGACTCCGACGGGTGGTATCCCGCCTAGGAGGTGGGGTCACATTGTACCAGTGGCCACCACCGTGCATGGATTTGGGCCTGCAGCTCTTAGCACAGGGATGGTAGGGAGACACTAGAGCCACTCACCTTCATGAAGTCACTGCCTCACATCTACAGAAAGACTCCTGAGTCCCTCACTCCACTTCTCCACCCTTCACAAACGAGCTTTCTGTTACAAACTGCACGTCTGGGTTCAGAGTGCTCTGGCTCCAAGCCGGGACTCACCTGCACATACAGATTCACCTCTGCACTTCTGCACAGGTACGGGAAATTGCCTCCTGTTTTAAGGTGAGCTCGCCGGGCATTAGGGTACAGTTTATACATTTCTTCTTTAGCTTCGGTTGAAAGTGCACTCTGGTCAAATACCTTTAAAAAACACAAAGTTGAAACCTGGTATTATTTTTTTTTTTTAAGAGAGATTTTTGCTGTAAGGTACAAGTGCTTGCCAGAGACAGAAAGGAGAAATCAACCCCCAGGGGGATGATCATGCTGCAATCCCTTCTCCTCCATTCTCCTCTCAGGATTTGGACACACACGCACACGCACCTGGCCTGAGTTTTAGGCCACCGGGTCTGGGACTTGAACTGCAGTCAACTACATGGGGGCCCAGCAATGTAACCGTTACACCATCCACTGGTCCTCAAAACCTGGTATTTCACTATGTTCTTTTCACATTTATGAAAAGTGTTACCCTAAGTGTTCCTTGGTCATGAGAAGACAGGTTGAAACCCTGAGCAGATAGCCACCTCCTAGAGCTGAACCTGGGTGACCTCTAAGTCCAACCTCTAAATTTTGCTGCCAAGTGTTACCTGTAGCCTGTGGGGGGAAATTCTACTGTGAATTTCGTTTTCTCTCAATTTAACTCATAGGATATTAATAGTAAACAATCATTATTGAAAATGCCGGGACCAGCAGTTAGCATAATGGCTATGTTGCTGGACTCCCATGTAGTTGACCGCAGTTCGCGTCCTGGACCCCGGGCTTTAAAACTCACGCCGGGCGCATGTGCGTGCATGCCCAAGATCCCGAGAGGAGAATGGAGGAGAAGGGATTGCGGCGTGGCCATCCCCCCCGGGGGGTGA